CATCGCCCCTCCGACAAACCTGATGTTTAATGCGAAGCAGGCCTCCCTCAAAAAAATATATTTGCCGATGTGAATTCTGTATCCATGGGCAACCGTATGTTTGACTTTCTATTCGATAGTCCATCTACTTTCTGTTGATGACTGGTATGTCGCGACTACAAGGGACCGAGTTGTTGAATAATTGAAAGCCTGGAAAGTCATGCTTTTCGGGTTGCCAACCGCAGCTAACGTTGTGCGGTTCAGGGAGTAGCATGTACCCTTGGTTCGAATCCCACTGGGTCATTGCGATGTTCAAGTTAGCATAACTTTAAGGCCTTCTCTTAACTCCCTTGTAGGCGGATCCGCCGCAGGTAGAATAGACAGGCCAGACGAGACTGGTACCTTCTTAATGGGTCAGTTGGGCTGATTGCCTCCGCGCTGGTCGGCCCATGCATCTCCGGGTCTCGAGTCGCACAGGCCATGGCTCGGAACAGCGGTCTTCGGTGGGCGGACGACTTCTTCGCAGACCACTAACCCCGGCAGCCCATGATCATGTTGGCTGCACCAGTTAGAAAACCACAGACTTAGTCAATGGAAGGTTCACAAAACTGTATTGGATAAATGAAATGACTTACTGGCCGGGCCATCAGAACAGCCGATTACAGCACTTGTTTGGATTGCTCGAACGACTTGCCAGAATGATAAATAAAATACCGATTCTGTCAAATATGATCAGTTGCAATTAGCAATGAGGGTGTCAAACATGGAACAGAGGAGTCTGGCAGTTTTGAAGCGCTAAAATAAGCCATACCGATTGAATCAAGAGCGTTACAAAAAGGTGACATGCGTCTCTGGCTAGTCGACGAAATAGTATTTACTTGCCTTCTATCCCCATTTAACTAGGCCAGTAGAAAAGTCTTCCTTAGGGTTCTGGGAGGACCAAATAAAGAAGTGTTATGCTGACTTTCAGGTTGTGCCAAAAATTCTAAGATAAAGTTATTCGTAAGTCGATCTCACCAGAGGACGATTGCTCATTCTCGTTGCTCTCCAGTCGTGCAAATTTACTATTATGATAAGGTTGACGTTGGTCACGAAACATCTTCCTGAAAACGGACTGAACCTATGGCAAACTTATTCAGAGCATCAAGGTTTTCTAAGTCAATGGGACTAAACGGCTGTACCTTACATGCCAACTATACTCATAATTA